ACCGTTTCACAACCGGTATAGTGACCACATTGACCTCACAAAACTGTAGGCATCTTTTGCCAACTTGAACGGCCTGTTTAGCTCGTGCATCCATAGAATTTGACTAAACTTGCCTGGTAACAATATGCCACATTTCCTTTCGCATCCGCACTTACTCTTTTCCCTCAGTAACTGAACGGAAGCTTTATAACCGGCCCAAGTCTGGATGCATCTGGTGGAGAAACGTTGACTAGGTCTTGTCGGGCAAGCCCACACTCACCGTTGTAACAGAAGATCGCAATTAAACAAGGCTGCTGTGGAACTTTTCCATCCTTGATAAACCCGTGGTCACCCCAAGTTCGACCGCATTTCCTACGATTTTCACTGTGCCTGGACCTTGCACCAAATCACCTCCACTGCCATCCTCATTCAGAGGTCCGCCTGTCATCGAGATGTCTAGAACGAAGATAGTTAGGACCGACAAGATTGCCTGGTCTTCATGGGAAAAAAGGAACCTTCTTTCCTGGTTGCACCGGCACCGCGGGATGTCTTGGAACGAAAGAGCCAGGGCATACTTCAGGCAGTTCCGCGTGAAACGAACGGGCGAGGCATTGAGATGCAAACAGAACTACCTGTTACGGAATCTACGAAAGCTTCACTCCATCCAGGGAATTCCGTCTGAAACCTCCAGCTCAGAGTTACCTCCGCCGCAAGTCCGACGCGAAGAAGCTCGGAGATCTTGCTTGCCGTCTCTTCCAATCTTCACACCTAGAGGCTCCCGCACAACAAATTGCCATTTGATCCGTGCGCTGGAGCAGCTGGACGTTTCAGAACGCCGTTGCTTGACAAATGACTCGGATGGTGCAAACGAGACTCTACCAGGTAAGATAAAGCGGCAGCCTAGGCTACGGGCCAGGAGGGTTAATAATTCCATAGGTTATACGATCCGACTGCCGCACAGTCTGAGATCCGATCTAACGCGCAATGCTTCATACCATTGGAAGTTTGTACATCGTACGGCAGCTGCCACGAGAGCGTCACGGAATGCTGCGATCTTATGATCTCCACGTTTACTCCCTTCGGCACACAACTCAATGGACATTACACTATCCACCTTGCACGTTTCAAGGTATTTATGTATATATAGATAATGTTGACACTGAGGGTCTGCTCTGGCTTTTCACCGGTGAGCCCGTTGGAGACTGATATACAGTGCACTGTACTGGCCCCGTAAGAAGATGTAGCATGATTTCTAGCCTTTCCCGAACACCTGAGCCTAAATATACTTGCTACAGCCGCGGCGCAGTGTTCTGACGGTGATCGCCAGTAATATAATGATATTACCTCTAGTATCAGGAACCGCCGCGCACAGGGCACCAGCAGCTCCATGGTTCACATTGGTAGAGCCTCACTGTCTATGTGCCTCCCGTCCTTCTCGAATTAAATGACTGCTAGGAAGGGAAGACCAACCACGAGTGAGGCTGTAGTAATTAATGCCTACCTTTTGAAAGTACTTTGATGATTTATGGTGGTGACCTCTTTACAATCTAGCTTTACCGCCAGCGGCGTCGGTTTTCTTATCTTGGCTGGTGACAATGGCTCGGGAAAATCTTTACAGACAATATATCCAAAGAGCTGTCGCTAAAAGATAAATCATACGGTGAAGGTGAGACTTGCCTAGAGCAGCGCGTTTCCTGCCGTTTCATTTCTTCGACTTGGATGAAGAATCAACGAGCGTCACCGAGGCATTGCCGTCTCTTGCGCACTGGATTGTCCTGAATGGTAGAAACCTGCTTTTCCTTGCACAGTTCATCTAAACGAGCCTTCATGTTCTCCTGCGTTTCCTCTAATTCTTGGACCCTGCCTTTGAGAGCTGTGGTTTCTCTCACTAATGTCGCGTTTTCGGTCAATACATCGGCGAAGCCATCCTGTGTAATGCCATTAATAAAGTGTTCGATTTTCCTATTCATTCTGGTTAGCATGTTGATTTGTTCGCTTGGAAAGCAGACTCGGACTCCAGCAAGGTACCGGAGCCAGGATCTGCCAGACCACGAAGAAGGCTGTAGAACTCACTTGACTCGATCGTGAAGGCTGCCAATCTTAAGGTTAGCACAATCAAGCCAGCCACTACACGGTAAGAACTCACTCTGGGGTTTGCTGGGTCGACCGCGGAGGATGCCGTGCTGCAGTGAACTCAATTCAGCCACCATTTATCTCGCCCGTGGGCCTTGACCGCAGATGATAGTACCTTTCTCATCCTTTGGACGGGTTGTAAGATCAGGGCTTTCTTTGAGTCGGCGCTGCTCTTGCATGAGACGAGATGTCATACTTGTTGGTTTTTGCTCTTCCTCTCGAGACAGCAAGCTTGAGAATCGTGCTTCGTAACCACCTTGTTGGCTCCTTGAGCGCAGGATTTGTGTGGATGTCATTGATAGAATGAGACGAAATTGAAAGAGCGTTCAGGATGGTTCAGAAAAGGGAGGAGGAGGTTAGGGAAAGGGGGAACGTGGGCGAAGGATGCGCGATTTCATGCTTGTGGTGGATCACACTACTGCAGGCACTCTAGGGCGTCCGGCAGGGCAAAAAGAGTTAACAGAATAATAATAATAATAATAGGGAAAAATGGGCAGTGTTGGATGATTCTCATGGTGGCCGTTCGTTACTTGGTTGCCAAGGGCAGCTTGGGTAAAGGGCGAACTAACAGGGAATCGGGGTAATACGCCATTGCGAGGTAATTCAATACAACACGCAAAATTGATGGCGGTCGAACGGCCGGTTTCGTGAACCGCGTTTGATTCACATGCCCCCGCCCCAACTCTGAATCAAGGGATATCCGTCGGTCTCGGGATCCACCCATCACGAAGTTGGTTGACCGTCTGTGAAAACCGCCCAGTACAATGTATGTGCAAACGACAAAGTATGCCGGAACTGATCTAATTTACCTCATAATTTAGAGTACATCATCTGGGGTGCGCGTACGGCATTCCCGCGAGGCTGGGTGTTGCGTTAATGGTACTTGTTGAGTGCCGTATTGGGAAGAGATAAAAGAGCGATATGCTCCCACGATGGGAGACTAGGAGCAGGCTTCCTGCCCTCCCTCATTGCCATGAGCCCCGTGAGGTATATCTTGTGCTCCCTCATTGCCATGAGCCCCGTGAGGTAAATCTTGTGCTCCCTCATTGCCTTGAGCCCCGTGAGGTAAATCTTGTGCTCCCTCATTGCCATGAGCCCCGTGAGGTAAATCTTGTGCTCCCTCATTGCCATGAGCCCCGTGAGGTAAATCTTGTGCTCCCTCATTGCCATGAGCCCCGTGAGGTAAATCTTGTGCTCCCTCATTGCCATGAGCCCCGTGAGGTAAATCTTGTGCTCCCTCATTGCCATGAGCCCCGTGAGGTAAATCTTGTGCTCCCCCTGGCGACGTGCAGCACCTCTTCGTGGTGCTAGGGACCAGTACTCGGTGATCATACGATATCGAGGAAGCTAAGACTTGCACAAAATCTATTTACTATCTCGTCGCTCTTGATACGCACACAGCATCGTATCTTGGGCTTTACTCTTATATCCTAGACGCATAGCGTGTAATTCAATGAATGTTTTGAAATAATCCCTGATTATCCAATATTGCCTTTACCAATGTGGCATTTGGTTGTATTAATATCAAATTCAATACCGTTACTGTACTTATAGAGAAGAGAGTTCTTAAGTAGGATACGTTCCCAAGAGGCGTGATGTGGTGTATGCCAAGTCAGCTCAACGCATTGATTACAATTGGTAGGTATTTTGCGATTTTGATTCTAGCAAAGGGGTGGTTAAGCAGAGTAGTTAAGCAGAGTAGTTATGTTGATTATTAAGTGATGCTTCAGTTTTCATGTTATTGAGGGGAGTTGATTTTTTTTGTGTTGCATGTTGTCTAAGATACCAGTAGGCTGGTGAACAGGTATATATGTATGCACGTGATCCCAGCCTCATTATTATCTCAGTAACCGGGATATTTCAACACGGTTAAGCAGAGCGGTTAAGCAAGGTGGTTAAACCAAGTGGTCAAGCAGAGTGGTCAAGCAGAGTGGTCAAGCAGAGCGGTCAAGCAGAGCGGTCGGGCGGAGTGGTCAAGAATAATGGTCAGGATCTGAACTAGCGATAAATTACTAACCGGGTCATAGCGAAGAAAAAGAAGGGACTTTGCCTGGTACATGTAGGAATGCTGTCATTGCGTCAAGATTTCGTTCATATCCCGCGGAAACCTGCGGTATGCAAGTATTCTTCATCCTCAAGGATTCGCAACCAAATTGTACGGGTTAACAGTACACGCAGTCAAACCTGAGAGGACCGCGGGATTATCCGGCTCTGGCGATCAACCGCACGGGCTTGTCTCACACGCATGAACCATGGAATAAATGACGGAATCAGCCGCTGATATGATCTGCAACGTCTGTATCCAAATGCGGCCGTCACTGCCGCATGAAAAATCGGATTTTCACTATCGCATTTAGCGGCCACGTAGTTTCGTATTGGCTATGCTCTGTATTTTATCCCGTTTTGATTTGAACAGAAAGCACAACGGGAGGTGGGGACGGACCCATTGTCTCGATTCCCCGCCCAATCAGTAAATTCCCACACCCCTCTCTGAATTGGAGGCGAGATTACGGAAGAAAATCACCCGCATTAAAGTTTATGCTTTGATAACGGTCTAGACGCAGGGGAAGCGTAGTGTACTCAGCTTCGAACGGGTCAGATCCGGGATTCGTGCTTCCCACAAAGAGTAAACTTTACTCCGGCCAAAGTATCATGTTAGAAACGCAGGAATATGACCTAGTCATTATCTAAGCTTGAACACGATCCACAAAGGGAACAAAATCCAGATGAATGTGGTGGTAATATATATTTCAGCGGGCCAATGATAAATTATCTTAATATCCACACACGTGACAACGAATGGATTTATAACTAGCGCTGTCGGGACCTTTGCCTAGCATCTTCCATTTCATACTCTCGTTTTCATGAAGCGGTGTCACATTGCCGTGTTTGTCCTCCAGTAAACGGCAGTCTTTGGTAATTTGTTCTTATCTTATGTGCCCACTGGTTCCTAACTGATTTTTCTTCAGATCGAGTCACGTTCTAGATGGATTCCAACACTGTCACAGTTGAAGGCTCTGGCCACAACATTAGGGAAGATGACTACACGCTGAACTGTCTGCCAGAAATGAAAAGCGTGTATTCTGAGCATTTTAAGCCTTTTCAAGACAAGCTGTCTTTGGTTCTTCAGCACTCTCGGTCACATTTCATGGCACTAGCGGGGCGAGAAAGCTTTGCTGGGTTCTTGAACGTTCCCCTCATCAGCGACGTCCTAGTGAAGACCATAGAAATGATGTTTGAAGCACCGAAACCTTGTGTGCTTCAGCTTCAGAACGACGAAGTCAGTGCCAATATCAATTGGCTGGACGTTATCAAGGAAAGGGATTATCAGGCCGAATACAAAGGGAATGGAATCTACCATTTCCATATGCGGGACAGGGGCGTGATTGTCATGTTGTCTGCTTTCCAACACAACATGATCCTTTCAGGATTACCCCGGAAGCTGGTTCAACCATGGTCCTACGAAAAGGACGTACAGACGGAATTAAACACCTTGGCGCTGGCAGCCGAAATGACATCACTGGCGAATGAACTTGCATCGGAAAGTAAGCCAACTCGAGCATTATCTTTATCCTATCCACTCGCTTACATCGCCCCGCAGTCATCAAAGTCAATAACACTGTGCTTGAAGAAATACTAAGAAGAGATCGAATTCTTCGCCGCAATCCGGAGCCAAGTCAGAGATCGGCGGGCTCGCCCTTTCCCCTGGAGTCAGCCGAAGAGCCAGCGCACTTTACACCAGCGCAGGTTGACGCAGATTCGCCCGGTGGGATGGCTATCGAGACTCAAAGAACAGACATGCAAGCCAGTGCTTCAAAACGCGGTGCTGGAACGTGGAACTGTAAGTAATGCACGTAAGAAGCGTGGCATTGAAAATTGAAGTGGGCGAAGAAGTACTAATAATTTGGATGTACAGTCGCCAAAAACAGGGCTTGGCCTTCAGAAGTGCTGAAGCAGCTTCCTCTATGGTTCGAAGACCAAGTACGGCAAAATCTGTCGCAGGAAGAGATTGCCCAAAACTTTCACCGAACATTCAAGCAAAAACGGACCTTCCATGCTATTGAGGCAAAAGTGTATTTCTTGACAGGAAAAAGTCCTTTTAGAAAGCGCAATAAGAAGACTTTGCGCAAAGAACCTGTGTCTTTGATACCTCGCTCCTCCCCACCGCTTCCTCAACCTTTTGAATCAGTGGACTTGACCCAACAATTGATCTCGAGGTCGAACATCGAGGTTCACGCGTTACGTCTAGCCCCGAACCTACTACCCTATTTGAATTCTGACGACTGCGAGGATGGAAGCCTTTATACCCTTCATGGTGTTCAACCGGTTGGCCCTGAATCAGAATCCAGCGACCCACATGCAGTATCTGAACAGCATACTGCGAATCAAATGTTAAGGTGTCGGTACGCATCTCGGGAGCATGAACTTGCGTCAGCTACAAGTCAAAATGAATGGCCAGTTCGAGGAAGCCATCAGGCTGAAGAATCACCCAAAACCCATCAAGCGTCATCAGATAAGGTTCCCGAGAGTCAGCCAAGCAATGATAATTCGATCAATGTGCTCCCAGCAATACCAGGGACGGTTGACTCTTACTTGCCTCGAAACTCTCCCTTAGAATCCCCTCGGATAGCAGAACCTATCCAGTCTCCAATCCGGCATCACCCTGAAGGCGATACTACACTCGAAGAGCTGGGCCAAACGCTTATCCATCGTACTGAGTCCAGTGCAATGCACGTGGAACAGACAGACACGGCGCGTTGCGACCAATCACCAGAGAAACTTTCTCCGCAATCTTCACCCCGTGAGATTCCATTGGATAGAGGTACAGCAAATGAGGGTTCCAATAATGAAAACCATACAGAAAGTGGACTGGGTGCGTTGCCTGTTCCCAGGGCATCGACGCCCTTCCAAGTTCCTGAATCAAGCTCCACTGGTAACTCGACTGAGCTTCCTCAATACAGCGGAATGGATGGGCCAAGCACCGATACCTCTGGAAAAACTTTGTCTGAAGAGGAATTGATCATAGGATATCTTCATGAGAAATCTCAAGCGCAGGCGGAGAGTTCTCATCGTTCATGGATCGCTAAAGACCTGGACCGTTTACCAGGGTGGCTCATGAAACGGAAAAGCCTACGAAAGGAAAGACTTGAAATTGAGTTTCTGAGAGACTTTGGACACTACCGAACATCCTCTGCTATCCGTACAGCTTGCCGCAAAAAGCGAAAGGCAGATTCTCGCCAAAAGGATGTAATACACCAACTAGCTCCGGTTGTCCCAGCCGTTCTCGATACTATGCCGGTATCACGATCACCCAACGCCATCATTGACACTCCAAACTTGGACCCATCCCATACGATAACAGTACTGAGCAATGATGATACTACACCCAAGCATCCGCTGTTAGAGCGACCTCGATCGCCACAACTTCATCATCAGCCGCAGGTTCCAGACAACGCAGAAAGACTTTCTCGAAACAGTCCTCCACTATTGAATGAGGATGAGGAAGCAGTGGCTCAAAGTCCACTGGCTGTTGTTGCCTCCGAATCCGCGTCCGAACAGATGGTGCTTTCAAGTTCTCCTGAGAATGTGGAAGATAACCCCATGTTGGGCAATCGGCGCCATAGAGTTGACATCACGCCGAAACCTCCGGCCAGGTTCACAGCAATTAATGGCAGTATTGTCCATCCCACTGATCCAAATATAAGCGAAATGACTCCGCTTGTTCAGATGGAGGGCAATGAGCGAGACGCTCCACCTGATGGGCAACGAAGCCAGCGAGCATCAAAAGAAAAGCCTGTCGAGCAGAGAAGACATGACCAAAATGTGCCACAGAAAGAAGGGTTTCAGAGTAAGCTCCCCTCTAATGCCGTGTTCGCTTTAGCCACTTGGCCCTTTAAACCATATCAGATCTATATGTGTCACCCGGCATTTTTCTTCCCCTTTCTTCCTTTATCTGTCCTTGCTTCCCACACTGACTGTTTTTATTCGAACTTGCAGGTGGAAGAGGACGCCCCAACCAACTTGCCTCTGAGTACGCACAGGCAGGCTCAAATTACTTAGAATTGTCCACCAGAACACCGGAAGGAGCTGGGAACAAGCAGTCACTCTCTATTGGTACTTCAGGCGCCAACATTCCACAACTGGGAACGAGCCCAAATTTGCAGAACAACCAGCCCACTTACATACAAAACCCAGTCCTAAATTGCCCGTCCAACTCCCAAGTTTCAACCCCTCGACCACCCCATTTCTGCACGCCCAATTCACAATCTAGGATTTCTCAAACTAGCAGTGTGCCGGGAAGGGCTCACACAGGCGGTTCGTTCATACTCTAC